ATTGTAGGGTATACTTTTTCAGGTATGGAATAGAGTGTTGCTGAAGACCCATCCAGGAAACTCTCTGATTCAGTAATTTACAATTTTTTTTTATATCCTCTAGGAAAAAAAAAAAGCTCATGAGGGTGAGAGTATGTGTGCAACATTTTCTAATAGGGAGATATAGTACTAATTTTGAGGGTCAAAAGATCTGGTGCAAGCCTGGGCTCTAATCTCTACCCCTTAACCATATCACCTTGGTTCAGTAATTTACCTATCTGAGCTCCCATTCCCCTATCTAAAATGGGGATATAATGACTTGCACTACCTATCTCTGGGGATCATGGTGAAGAAGACTATTTTTAAAAAGAGAGATATGAGTGAGCATTAAAGCTTAAGTGATGGCACTGGCTAGAGGTTGGGCCTTTGAGACAGGAAGATCTAGTACTGCCTCTGACACAAACTGCCTGGGGCGACCATGGGTGGGTCAACTGATCTGTGTCAGTGTCCCAGGCAATTAATTCTCTAAGACTGTAAGTTACATATCTCAACTTGCGCACTGATGGAAAGCATTTCCATACTGGGAACTTCCCTCACAGATAAAATCACAGTTCCAGACTAAAGCCAAATCAAAACAAGCAAACAAACAAAAAATAAATAGTGAGCTACTGACATTGCCAAAGCACAAGACAGCCACCTTTGGTGACACCTTTCTACATGCATTAGCAACCACGTAATAAATGTTTGGTTCATCCTTTAAATTTTTGCTCACTATAGCTTGGATTAGATGTTTCAGCAAACTCAGAGTTGCCTTGACAGAGCTTTATATCTTTATGTTCCGGAGATGCCTGGTTAAGCTGGCAATCAGTTCCGTCTGTAGGGCTAAAAGTATTCTTCCAAAATACTTTAATAATTGTTTTCACCTTAAACTATAAAAAACTATGCAGATGATTCCCAGATCCGTATGTCTAGCCTTAGTCTCTTCTTAAACTTCAGTATCAAATGATTAATACTGAATCATTAATTAATTAATACGGATACCAAGTGGACATTTCAAACTGGATGTCCTGGAGACATGTTCAGCCCAATATATACAAAACGGAACTCAGCATCTTTCTCCTAAAACCAGCCCCTCTTCCGAACTCCTCTACTTCTTTTAAAGGTACCATCATTCTTCCAGTATCCCAGGCTTACAATCTTGGTGTTATAATGGCTTGCTGACTCTCCCTCACCCCACAAATCATATTAATTGCCAGCTCTAGCCCTTTATATCCCTATAACATCATTCACATTCAACCCATTCTCTCTACCTACACAGCCACCACCTTCATCACCTCAAGATCAATGGTGTCAAACTCAGCTAGGAACAGGGTCACTAATCACACACAGGGATCCTTTTTTGCTGCATAATGACTTGATTTTCAAATTCGATATTACCTGATTTTATTATATTTCATTTGGATAAATATTTCCCAATTACGTTTTAATCTGGTTCTACTACACTAAGGAGTATTATGGGCCTCATGAAGCCCCAGGCATTTTGTTTGACAACTCTGACCTAAATTATTGCACAACCAATTGGGCTTCCTGCTTCATGTCTCTCCCTTTTCCAGTGCACCTTTCACACAGTTGCCAGACTGATTTTCCTTAAGCTTAGATCTGGCCATGTGACTCCTCTACTCAATAAACTCCAGCAGCTCCCTATTGCCTCCTGGGTAAAATATAAAAACTACTATAACAACCTGGGCCCCAAACCTAGTTTTCCAGGTTCACTGTATATGACTCTCCCTTCTATGCTGGTGCAATATAACCAAACATGCCTTGTCTCCATTCCTCCCACCTCCCTTCTCCAAGCCTTTGCACTGCCCATATCCCCCAGGCTGGGAATGCACTCCCTCTGCTTCACGGAATTTCTCTTCCTTCAAAGCTCACATCAAGCATGACCTTCTACACAAAGCTTTTCCTGATCCTCCGAATGACAATGTTCTCCCTCCCTAACTACCTTGTATTTAACTGCCTATTTGTCCCTTTTATGTTTATTCTGTGTAGTCTTATATATGTACTTGACCCACTGGAATTTAGGCTCCCTGAGTGATGTAGTGGATAGAGGGCCAGGCCTTAAGTCAAGAAAACCTTAGTTCAAATTAGGCCTTCAACACTTTGCCTCAGTTTCCTCATTCCTAAAATGCACTTTCCTCCCAGGGTTGTTGTAAGGATCAAATAAGATCACAACTACAAAGTGCTTAGCACAGTGTCTGACATATATACACACATGTGTGTATATGCACATATACATATATACATACACATATATACACATGCATATATATTAGATATATGCCACACCCATACTACATGTATATATACACTTATATATGTGTATGTATGTATATGCATGTATGTATGTACGTGCATGTAAATAAATGTTAGCTATTATTATTACTGTTGTTATTTTTAGTACCTAGTATAATTCCTGGGACATAGTAGGCACTTAATAAATGATGATTAACTGAAAATTGTTTTCAGTACAAATATGTCTGACTTTTCAATGAAGGATTGCTGGTTTGGGCTAGCTAGGTCTATGCTGCTGCAGACACTCACATCAGCCCATTGGTAAAGACCAGATCAATGATTTAGGTACTGAAGTGCCAGAATTTGAATGTCCAGCTTAGGTGGAATTTGTAGAATCAGATTAAAGTGTGATAGAAGGGGAAAGTTCCTAAAATGGAGAGAGATCCAAGTCTCCAAAGTGGAATGGGCTGCCTTGGGAGGTGATGGGTTGCTCCTCATTGAAGGTCCTGAAACAAAAGCTGAATGACCAACTTTTTCTACACGTTGTAGTCCAGGTTTAGGTTGGACTCTGGTTGCTGAGGTACCTTTCAATAATGGGGGGGAGGGAGCTGGGGTGGGGAGGAGAATGCCTTAATTCTGTGATTCTGCATTGCAGAGGGATTCTTTCATATTCAGACAGGTTTGGGCTCTAGATGTTCTCTGGGGTTCCTCCCTCTGAGATTCTTTGATCTGTAAAAACCCTCACTGTGCCCCTTAGGCCCCAGTGCCCGACCTAAGTGAACAAAACCCACTTGTGATTTCAAAAGAAGTCAAAAATCTTATTTTCCTGGTCTCTGCATATGAAGTTCTGGGCTGAGTCAAAAAATCCATGACTGGCTGAGACAGCAGGTCAGGGCATGCCTTCAGAATTTGCCTCGAAAGTATTTTCAATCAAGTCCTGCCAAGACTTTAACATAAAAAAAAGAAAAAAAAATTCTAGTAACCCCTATCTCCCTGACTTGACTGGTATCTGAAATCTTTAATGGCTGAGTACACATAAACTTGCCAGCTTATCTGGCATGGCTGGTCTGAAGATGCCAAGAGGTGACAACCCTACCTAAAGCACGTGATAAAAAAGGCTAAGCAGGAAATGGATAAGCCTAACACAGTTTCATCATAATTCCAGGAGCAAAATGCAGGTCAAGGTTGGCTCTCCCTGACTTGAGAATTGCTGGGCATTTTGCTGCAGGACAGTTCCTCCTCCCTCTCCCTTGCTCAGCTTTCTGCTGTTCCTCAGTCACTGTCATGGGGCAGAAGGACCTTGGGAAGCAAGTCAAAGGGAAAATATGAGCAAACTAGGGTGGAGAGAGGGTGGGGAGGGCTGGGAAGAGGATTGCAACTCAGGCCTGTGCATCTCTCCCAGTGGTACTGGAGAGACAGGAGAAAGAGGTCTAAGGACAGAGAGAGAGAGAGAGAGAGAGAGAGAGAGAGAGAGAGAGAGAGAGAGAGAGAGACAGAGAGAGAGAGACAGAGAGAGACAGAGACAGAGACAGAGACAGAGAGAGAGAGAGAGAGAGGAAATGCATGTATGTGTACATGTATACATGTACACACATGTATATGTGCTTGCATGTATAGGTATATACATGCATTTGTGCATATAGACACATTGATATATGAAGCTAATGCTGGAATTTGTTTCCCCTGACTATGCATGTTTGTTGCAAGGTTCCCCCCCCCAACAGAGGAAAAGGGGCGGGGGAACAAGACAGATTTTTGTTATTTGAAACATAAATCCGAATGTTTAATTTTAAAAAGGAGAGCTCTAGGGCCCCAGAGAGCAAGAACTCCCAGGAAATCTGGCTGAAGCAAACCTAAGAAACGAAATAAATCATTTGAGACTCATTTGCTCAAGTTAGAGATAGAAGGAAACTTAGTCTCTCTCGCCTCCACAAAGTTCTGCACCAACTCTGCGAAGTTCCCCAGGCAGCAGCCCGGGATTAGCCTTAGAAGCAGGGCCGCACAAGCCCGTGCTTGGCCCCCGAAGTCCGGAGGGAACCTGGGCCCTAACCCCGGCCCGCAGGGCGGCGGCGCGGGCCCTCCGGGCCTCACTCACCCGCGATGTCCCAGAGCTGCAGGCGCACTACGGTCTCCGGGTCCCACTGCAGCACTTTCAAGGCGAAGTCCACCCCGATGGTGGCCCGGTAGTGGGAGGAGAAGTTCTGGTGCACATAGCGCTTGATGATGCTGGTCTTGCCCACGCCCAGGTCACCGATCACCAGCAACTTGTAGAGATGCTCCCTCGGCTGGCTCTGCATCCTCCTCTGCGCCCGGGCCCGCGCCGCGCGCACTGATCGCATGCCCGGCGCACCGGGCGCTGGGGGGCCGCAGCGGGGGAGGACGGACCCAGGAGTGCGTGGGAGTGTGTGTGTGCGTGTGTGTGTGTGTGTGTGTGTGTGTGTGTGTGTGTGTGTGTACGCGCGCGCGCGCGCGTGTGCGTGAGTGAGTGTGAGTAAGTGAGTCTGTGTGTGCCCGTGAGGAGCCTGAGGAGGAAGGGAAGAGAAGCAAGGAGGAGAGAGGAGGCGGGGCAGGCGGGGCTCCTCTCCCCCGGACCGCCCTGCCCACCCAGGGGCTTAATGCTCTTTAAAATGCATAACTCAGCCCCGTCCTGAAGGAGGTGAGGGAAAGGAGTGCATCAGGGGGATGGGACACTGGAGGCTAGCACCGGCGGAGCCTATGGAGGGGGTGATGGACAATAGAGCGGGTTCTTAAGCGCGAAGGGACAAGGAATGGAAACTCCAGACGCCTTCCTCTTTTATTAATCTTTGTGTCTCTCCACCTCTCCTGGACTCCGCTAAAGACCTCCTCTGATGCTAAGCTGTGGCCGGGAGGTGACCTTGTGTAGGGGGAGAGCAACCTTTTCCCCAGGCTGAGCTGAATTAAATTGCAAGCCCTGGAAGATGTGTCTGCAAAACTATTCTGTCAAATTTATGAGCGTGTTGTTCCCTTGGTGGAATACCAGGCTTCACTGCCGCTGACAAGTTGCTAATCAAAGTCTCTTTCTTCTCAAGAGACAGGTAGGCAGTGTGACTCACTTTGCTTTTTGAAAATAAAATGCTAAAGTTCCCGTAGGACGGAATTTCTAATCCTTGATCCATACTATGCTACAGTAAGCAAATAACTTCAAATTTTTCTATGCCTCACTATAAAATGTAGGTGATAGTGCTTATGTGTCAGAAGGTATCGCTAATTAAAATAATTAGGAATTCTTTTATAAATATAAACGTTGTTCCTTTCCAACTCTTTGTGACCCCATTTGGGGTTTTCTTGGCAAAGATACTGGAGCAGTTTGCCAGTTCTTTATCCTGCGCATTGTACAGATGAGGAAACTGAGGTGAACAGGGTTCAGGTGACTTGTCCAGGGTCACACAGCTAGTGTCTGAAGTCAGATTCGAATTCAGGACGTTGAGCCTTCCTGAATCTATGCCTGGCACTCTATCCTCTTCACCATCAGTAAATGCAAACAATGAACTAATCTTGCTTTTCTTTCTTAGGACTCCTCTTTATTGGGTCAGTAATTCACTTCTCTACCTACAAGGTTACTCAGTTGTATTTACCTTTGCCAAAGTGAGAGACCTAAGGAATCATTCCTTGGCCCTAGTAACTTTTTGGTTATTAGTAAGAAATGTCAGGAGATAGGTGTGAAATAGTGGATAGAGGTCTAATCATAGAGAGAGGAACAACTGATTTTAAATCCTGTCATTGATATATGTTAGCTCAGGGGTGGGGAACCTGTGGCCTGGAGGCCATACTTGGCCTTCTAGGTCCCTAAGTGCAGCCCTTTGACTGATTGAGGGCCACACTTGAAGACCTACAAGGCCATGTGTGTCCTCCCGGCAGCTGGTTCCTCACCCCCTGTGTTAGCTGTATAATCGAGGGCAAGTCTCTTAACCTCTCAATGCCTCAGACAATTTTCTAGTTTGGTTGTTGATATACATCTATGGATGCAGTTTCCTTAATGAGAGTTGCCCACACCAGCGAAATCGCTGCCCTGATATGAGGGGGAAAAAAAGTGTAAATGACAGCTAGAGAATAATAATAACAATTATGATGATAATAGCGATAAAAGATATTTGTATAGTTCTTTAGGGTTTACAAAGCATCTCGTTGTGTTTTCAATATGGAGGAGGGCAGGGACAAGAGCAAAGGTATGAACTGTTTTGTGTAAGGAGATGGGGCCAATCCTGCTTAAATTAACACCATTATTATTGGGGTCGTTAAAAATCACTAAACTGAAAAACTGCTCTTTCTAAAAACTATTACATAGTTATCAGATGTGATATACCACAGGCACATAAAAATACCCCAGATTACTATTTTAATAGACAGTCATGGCAATTAAAAATGATGTTAACCTATCTTTGCTTCAAATTGCTATTATCCTTTTATCCAGTAAGACATCAGGCAAAGCTCTTCCCTACTTGTCTGGGATCTGTACTAACTTGCTTTGCAGATGGTATCTGTCTTGAATTCAGGGCTCCAACAGAGATTGTCAAACAGGAAATGGCTTTGGTTTTATCTATGAAGAAGGGAGAAATGGGTTGTGGTTGCAAATTTGCAGACATTTTTGAGGATTTAGACTAGATAAGCTCTTCTACAGAAGGAGAAGAGAAAATGTCTGTTACCTGAACTCTGATTAGTTGATGGAACCTGAAGCAATGGGCAGAAGTTGCCCAAAAAAAGGGGGTTGGGGAGGGGAATTTGGGTTTGATGTATGCAAATCTATCAAACAATTGGAACTATCCAAAAGTGGAATTGGCTGTCTCAGAGACAGGAGACTACTTGTTAGATAACATTGTGGAAAGTATTCTTGTTCATGTGTGGATTGGCAGCTATATAAGCCCTTTGTGATTTCTTACATTTCTGAAGTTCAATAGAAAACATAGACTATTCCTCAAATTTATCTTTAGCAACAGTTTTGATCTCCAGTAAAAGATTTTTGTTGTTTTTGAGATAAATGATTATTTGTCCTCATAATAATAATCAATTATTGAATTAAGACCAAGATTTTTTCAGAAGCCCGTAGGTTCTTCAGTTTCTGAAGGACATTGCTGATAATGAGAATGAATTAACTTTCTCCTCAATCAGGTCAGACTGAACCCAACTTTACAAGCAATTCAACCTAAGGGGAAGCCCATTGTGCTCTACACAGGTATGAGTAGGGGTAAATTCTTTGGTTAGATTGCCCAACTGCTGGGCAATTTAAAAGTAAATGACTTAATTGAAGTTACATTTCCTCAGCCCCTCATTAGAATAGATGCACCTCTCATTGTAATATTCATTCTTCTCATTAATTGTTAACCAATCAGAGTTGATTACCTTAGGAATACCCACTCTTCCAAGGGTGTATAAATCATGAGCCCACCGCCATAATTTGTCTTTGGCATTTGGCCAAAATAGGTCACTGACCTATTTTATTAGCCATATGATAATATTATATTAGCAATATGATAATATTATTAATAAAATAATTACCCAGAAATTATATTTCTCAAACTTTTTAAATGTCACATTTTAAGTTAGTATGGTATACTGGGAAGATCTTTGGAGTCAGAGGACTTCGTTTTGAATCCTGACTCTGCTATTTAGTTATGTGATCTTTGGTAAGTCATTAACCTCTGGGAACCTCAGTTTCATCTGTAAAATGAGAGGGTAGACTAGATGACCTCTAAGATCCCCTCCAGCTCTAAATTTTATCATCTTTTTTTAACAGACATGTTGGTATAGTAGAAGGAATGCCACATCTATAGAAAGGGGTTCTCATCCTAACTTTATCTTTTGTGAGTTGTGTTGCATGGAGGAAATCATTTAACTTACCCTAGCCTCTCTTTGCTCATCTTTAAAGATGGGAATAATAATACTCAGCTCATTTCACTCCGTGATCCACAATATCTCCTCACCAGTCTTGCCCACTTCTGTTCTGGTCTTGCCCTATTGATTGGCGAGTCCTGGGATGACCATATCTTGAGAAGCCCCAGCCATACTTGCTTCATTCCCAGCCCAAGTCATTCTCTGGACTACTGGACCTCCCCACCAGCATTACCCCAAGGCAGGCACCCTTCCCTCTTCCCTATCTCCTCTTTATATTGTGTCTTCCTCTGTTGGAGTGTAATCTCCTTTGGAATAAGGATCATCCTATTCTCTTGTGTTTATATCCTTAACACTTAGCACATAAGTGCTTAAAATTCTCTGTTATCATATCTATCTATCACCTATCTATTTATCTATCATCAATTATTTTATAAGCAGCTAGGTGGCACATTGGACAAAGTTCTGGGCCGGAGTCAAGAAGGCTTATCTTCCTAAATTCAAATCTCGCCTCAGACACTTACTAGCTGTGTAACCTTGGACAACTTAACCCTGTTTGCTTCAGTTCCTCATCTATAAAATGAGCGGGAGAAGTAACTGGCAAACTACTCCCACATCTCTGCCAGGTAAACACCAAATGGAATCACAAAGAGTCAGACACAACTAAAAACAAAACAACAACATTATTTCATAGAGGCATTGTGGGAATCAAATGAGAGAATATTTTTGGTGAAAATCCTTTGTGACCATTAAGTATCATATAAATATAGATATTTTTATTATTATTATTACTATTATAGGTGTTGCTCACACTTTTGAAACATCAATTTTTAAGCTCCTTTTTCTTCCTCTGTCAGCCCATCAGATGGAAGTGGTAATTAGGAATGAAATAGTCCTAATTCATATATCTTGGAGTTGAAAAGGGGGGCAAAGGATAACACAGAAACTATATCATTAGCTCACCAAGAGCTGAGTTGATTCTAGTTCCATTTTGAAAAGGCTAAGGAACCCAGGGAAGCATTAAACAGAGATGGAAAGTAGTTAAGTCTGAAAGTTGTATTTCCAACCTGTGTGGATACTTTGCCAGGTAAATGTGTCATGCTCAGTAATTAGTGGTGAGGCTTCACATAATCACTGAATCTCAGAGTCAGAAGAAACTTTAAGAGATCGTAGTAACTAGATATCAAGCTGAAAGAGACCTTAGAAATCATCTCTTCCAGCCACCTTATTTTACATATCCAAAAACTGAGGTCCAAAGAGGTTGGGTCACACAGGTAATGAAGGCAAAATAGGTCAGTTAGTTCCATCCTGCAAATATGGGCACTGGTAGAGAAAAAGGTTCCACTTTTTGCTTCTAGAGAAGGTAGCTGGTTAGGTTGAATAAGCTCCCTGGGAAGATATCTCAAGGCTGTTGACACTGTGGCCAATGTTCTTTTCACCACCCTGTCCCTTAGAAAGATCTGTTGGAGGTTGATGCTAATGTTAAAATGAACATGGAGCATTTATTTTTAATTTTGCCAGCCTGTATTACGCTAATGCTAATAGTACAGCTTGCAGGCAGAAGAAGGCACTTCAGAAATATTGTACTGATGAAGAATGGCCTTACAGAGGAGGTTTCAACCTTCACTAAGGCCTCAGTCAATTAAAAAAAATAACAATATTTCTCGAGCACCTAGCTTGTTTTGATAGTGTGCTAGTCTGCTGGGAGAGATTAAAAAAATCAAAACGTACCTTCTAGGAAGTGGCTTATTGGATAGAGTGCCAGCCCTGGAGTCAGGAGGACCTGAGTTCAAATGTGGTCTCAGACCAGACACTTGATATTTACTAGTTGTGTGACTCTGGGCAAGTCACTTACTCCCAATTGCCTCATTAAAAAAAAAAAAGGAACAATATATGTAAAACACTTTGCAGAACCTAAAATTTTATGTTTGCTATTATTTCTAATTAGATAGTCAAAACTTGAGTACCTAAGGAAGTGGGGGGGGGGAGAGAACACAAGCATTTATTAAACTCCTAGTATGTTCCAGTCATTGTGATAAATTCTCTACAAATATCTCATTTGGTCCTCACAACAACCCTACCAGGAGGTAGGTAGTTAATATCCCCATTTTACAATTCAAGAAACTGAAGGAGACAGAAATTAAGCGACTTGCTATACAGCTAGTAAAAGGCCAGATTTGAATTTGGGTCTTTCTGATTCCAGGCCAAG